TCCGTGGCGATGTTGATTCCAAATGTGGAGGGGAAAACTGGAAGACCCGGAGAAAAAAATCCACGCGACCACCACGGCGAGAGAGAGAGAGAGACACGCAGACTCCAAATATACAGCAGCGGGCGTCAGAGCCGGGATGGATCGCACGACCTCCTGTGTACCAGGCGAGGGAGTTAACATCTCCTAGCCACCGTGATGATGATAAGAGAGAGAGAGAGACACGCAGACTCCAAATATACAGCAGCGGGCGTCAGAGCCGGGATGGATCCCACGACCTCCTGTGTACCAGGCGAGGGAGTTAACATCTCCTAGCCACCGTGATGATGATGAGAGAGAGAGAGAGAGACACGCAAACTCCAAATATACAGCAGCAGACGTCAGAGCCGGGATGGATCCCACGACCTCCTGTGTACCAGGCGAGGGAGTTAACATCTCCAGGCCACCGTGGTGATGATGATGAGAGAGAGACACGCAGACTCCAAATATACAGCAGCAGGCGTCAGAGCCGGGATGGATCCCACGACCTCCTGTGTACCAGGCGAGGCGGTTAACATCTCTCCACCGTGGCGCCCTTATTTCGTTAGTATCGCGGTGGTGCTTATCGCAACACCTCCACTGGCAGACTTGAGCCAGCAGCGTGTGAATCTTCCACATTCCAATGGCAGGAGCCAGTATTGCAATGTGTGTCCCGCAAGACAACCGCCGTTGTGGTGGCCCGCACGGGGGGGGGGGGGGAGGGGGGGCCACGGGGCCCTTCCGAATCTCCGCACCGCCCCGCACGCGACCCATGGCTACGCGAAGGGGCTTGCGTCGGGGTTTTCTTTTGCGTCGGGGTGTTTCGCAAACGTCTGAGAATACTGATCTGGTGGAACGCGACGTGATCGGAACGACGACAAACAAGCAAACGGAAAACACACGAGCGGCGAGAGATTAACGAACGCACGGTTGTTTTTATCCCTCGACGCTCGCCCTTCGTTCATGATTTGAAGGCGTAACGAATAACGCGCCGGCTTGTGTATATCTGCGGCGACTGCCGCCGCTGCAGCTGCTGCAGCCCCCTGTGTTTAGGCATATTTTGTTCTTTGGTTCTTTCGGTAAAGTCACCACGTAGAATGAGAATAAAATAATAAATTGATAAAATAAAATAACACAATAATATTCTCACGACGTTTCGGCCACAACACAAGCGGCCTTCATCTGGTGAAGGGACGAGACTGTCTGGTAGGACAGCGCTGGAGTGAAAAAAGCCACGCTCAGATCACGACCTTTAAGCTGTGTGAGAAGAAACAAAGCGCCTTGACAAGGGAATTAGCATATAATTTAGCATTGAAATGGCTGAGTGATTAGCTTGTGACTGGTCACAGAAATGGCTATGTTAAAGTTAAAGCATACACATCCGCAAAGGCACCTCTTGACAAAGGAATTAGCATATAATTTAGCATTGAAATGGCTGAGTGATTAGCTTGTAACTGGTCACAGAAATGGCTATGTTAAAGTTAAAGTATACACATCCGCAAAGGCACCTCTTGACAAAGGAATTAACATAGAATTTAGCATTGAAATAGCTGAGTGATTAGCTTGTAACTGGTCACAGAGCTCTGACTTTAACATAGCTATTTCTGTGACCAGTTACAAGCTAATCACTCAGCTATTTCAATGCTAAATTCTATGCTAATTCCTTGTCAAGGGGTGCCTCTGCGGGTGTGTATACTTTAACTTAGCTATTTCAATGCTAAATTCTATGCTAATTCCTTTGTCAAGGCGCTTTGTTTCTTCTCACACAGCTTAAAGGTCGTGATCTGAGCGTGGCTTTTTCACTCCAGCGCTGTCCTACCAGACAGTCTCGTCCCCTTCACCTGATGAAGGCCGCTTGTGTTGTGGCCGAAACGTCGTGAGAATATTATTGTGTTATTTTATTTTATCAATTTATTATTTTATTCTCATTGCTAAATTCTATGCTAATTCCTTTGTCAAGGGGTGCCTCTGCGGATGTGTATACTTTAACTTAGCTATTTCAATGCTAAATTCTACGTGGTGACTTTACCGAAAGAACCAAAGAAGATGAATCCTTGCAGTCACGAAAGCTTTAAATCGAAACATATTTTGTTTGTTAAGATTTTGAAGGAAGGTAGGAAAAACGTGTAAAGACATCGAAAATACTGTTCGGGATTACACTTGCGAACTGGAGACTTGAGTGCTGAACACTCATACAATGCGGCGACCGTCACCTCGTTTACAATATTGAAGTTGTACAAAAGTTTGCTCGAGATCACACTTTATAAAAAAAAATACACACACACGTTCCTTTAGTGACGCATATAATATATAGATGAACTTTGTAAATTAGTACGATTTCTCAAAATAAATGTTTAGCACGTTAAGATGAACACTAACGCTAATAAATACATGTTTAGACGACGAGACAATTCGAATTATGTCGACGACTTGAAAAGAAGGCAAAGTGTGCTCACTACCTTATATTTCACGCGAATGCAAAATATTCGGAAGCAGAGCAATCGATTGATTAACAGATTAATTAATTATTTCGCCCAATCAATTAATTTGACCCATTCATGAATTCACCACCCTTTCCCCCCCCCCCCCCAATCAGCCCGCCGATTTCACAATGAGCCCTGCACGACTCTAAAATCACCACATGGTCACGGTAACACATTCTCCTGCGGAGGGATGCTGGTAGGAACGTCGGGTTGCTCGGTCAATGGGCAGGGTCACACGGCGGCACCACGTGGTGTGTTCCGCACAATATGCCCGACTGTGAGGGCGGGCACAAGCCGGCGTGAGTAGGTTAAACGTTGAGTTTTATAAGGGCACCACGGGGTGACCAGCCCCTCCCCACTCAGCCCCACCCCTACCACCCCCCACCCAGCCCCACCCACCCACCCAGCCCCTCCCCACCCGCCCCAATTGATTGCAGCCAAATACTCTGAAACGCGTGATGTCGATTCTAAACGCAGAGGGGGGGGGGGGGGGGGACCAGAGGGCCCAGACGAAAATCCACACGACCACCACGGGGAGAGAGAGACGCGCAAACTCCAAATATACAGCAGCAGGCGTCGATGTCGGAATAGAACCCACGACCTCATGTAGACCAGGCAAGGTAGTTAACATCTCCTAGCCACCGCGATGATGATGATTATGGGAGAGAGAGACACGCAAACACCAAATATACAACGGGCGTCAGGATGGGGATCGAACCCACGACCTCTTGCGTACGAGGCGAGGTAGTTAACATCTCGTCACCGCGGTGTCCACGTTAGTCGGCGCGGGTTGCTGAAGGGTGACGGGTGGGGGGGCCTACGACCGGTTTCTGAATCACTCGCCACCGACATTATCCGTTCGCCGCGACCGGGAAATCGATAAACGTTTAATGTCGTGTAAGCCCCATTGAGCTCAGATCGTGTAAATATGTAAATGTGTCGTTAAACCCGCCACCACCCGACACGGCCAACTAGTAAGGGTTGTCATGTAAACAGAACGTGGCCAATTCGTCACTAGTACAGCACTAGTGTGTAGTGTATAGTGTAGTGTATAGTAGTGTAGTGTATAGTAGTGTAGTGTATAGTAGTGTAGTGTATAGTAGTGTAGTGTATAGTAGTGTAGTGTATAGTGTAGTGTATAGTGTAGTGTATAGTAGTGTAGTGTATAGTAGCGTAGTGTATTGTGTAGTATATAGTATATAGTAGTGCATAGTAGTGTAGTTTATAGTAGTGTAGTGTATAGTAGTGTAGTGTATAGTAGTGTAGTGTATAGTAGTGTATAGTGTAGTGTATAGTAGTGTAGTGTATTGTGTAGTGTATAGTAGTGTAGTGTATAGTAGTGTATAGTGTAGTGTATAGTAGTGTAGTGTATAGTGTAGTGTATAGTGTGTAGTGTATAGTAGTGTAGTGTATAGTAGTGTATAGTGTAGTGTATAGTAGTGTAGTGTATAGTAGTGTAGTGTATTGTGTAGTGAATAGTAGTGTAGTGTATAGTGTAGTGTATAGCGTAGTGTATAGTAGTGTTGTGTATAGTAGTGTAATGTATTGTGTAGTGTATAGTGTAGTGTATAGTGTATTTTGTAGTGTATAGTGTAGTGTATAGTAGTATATAGTGTAGTGTATTGTGTATTGTATAGTGTAGTGTATTGTGTAGTGTATAGTAGTGTAGTGTATAGTGTAGTGTATAGTAGTGTAGTGTATTGTGTAGTGTATATTGTAGTGTATAGTGTAGTGTATTTTGTAGTGTATAGTGTAGTGTATAGTAGTATATAGTGTAGTGTATAGTAGTGTAGTGTATAGTAGTGTAGTGTATAGTAGTGTATAGTAGTGTAGTGTGTAGTGTAGTGTATTGTGTAGTGTATTGTGTAGTATAGTGTATAGTAGTGTAGTAGTGTATTGTGTAGTGTAGTGTATAGTAGTGCAGTGTATAGTGTAGTGTATAGTGTAGTGTATAGTGTAGTGTATAGTGTATAGTGTAGTGTATAGTGTATAGTAGTGTAGTGTATTGTGTAGTGTACTAGTACAGCATCACCGGTGTGTTGGAGAGACAAGCCACAACATTTACAATCTGAGTACGACGTTTTGCCACATTTGGCGGGTTTAACGACACATTTATATATTTATGCGATCTAACCCCCCCAAAAAACCCCCTGTATTAAGGACGATATTGGTCGTGAAAGCCTCCTATGTGTGAGACCCATTGAGCTTCTGAGAAGCTCTCTTCCAGATAGCGGACCTAACTCAGGCCACTGTGGGTTGTCAGCGGAGCGTGCTGACCGCTGGCGCCACCACCCCCACCGCAATCAATGCTCTACCGTCTTCCTCACCGGCAAATTCACGCAGTCGCAAAAGTTCCCTGAACCAGGGCATGGTCAGGTCCCTTTAAGGCGGCCCGGCCAAGGACCCATTGCGGTGGTTCTTCATTAACTGGGCAAACATTGAGTGCAGTCTCGAGCACTCATTGCTTCACCATATATTATCAATATAATAAGGATACATCTATTCATATGCAATAGTTTATAAATATATATTCATTAGTGGTGTCAGCCTATTCATTTCAACGGCAATGTGTTTTTTTTTGTATGAACACACAAAGCCCGAAACATTAGTCATGTTTTCTGTACCTTGGCTACAAGCAGTTTTGTTAGGTTCTTCGTTACAATAAAGAATCTAAAATACATCTAAAAACGTGTTTCTGTTGCAGCCAGAGAGTAGCTCTTGGCGGTTAACAAACAAAAAAGAAACGAGAATAATTTACAATGCCTAACGTCGCTCCAACCTCTAGGATGACGGCCTCCCAATGACCTGGGAGTTGATTCGACCATACTTCACCACGCTGGGCACTGCGGGTTTGGCGGAGGGAAGAGGTGGACCCTGCAACAAGGACCGGTTCCGATAATAATCGCCACCGGTGTTGGCCATGGCCGGGGAAATCGAACTCGGGCCACCGTGTACGCAGGGCGCCGAGCACTTGCCATTAAATTGCGCTCAAAGCGTTAGGCGTGAATAAATATCCCAGGCCATCTCTGTGCAGACGTGGCGCCGAGCCGTAACCACGACTACATTTTACCGCAAGAAGGCACCTTCGTCAGATTTCCACAAAAAGAAATCTTAAAAGCAGAAATGGAAATTAACTCGCGCTCGCACGTTGACAAATGAAACGCCACGTTTGAAAATTGGCGACCCACAGGCTGTCCCTAGGCAAGGCACAAGCGAGTAAGGGCCTTATGGGTCACGACCCAACCGCTACGTCTACCAAGACGAAAGGCGTCATATATATTTTGTCCAGCACTTTATATTCTGCATCGTGTTGCCACATCTGAGGTGCGAGAAGGCGGGAGTATCGGCGGAAGAAGAATTATCTCTCGATGCCAGAACAGGGGAGAAGGGCTCGTGAAGGCTCGTGACCGGAGTGGAGCGTCGTCGCGCAACTGACGCATCGACCAGGACTTCGAACGTCCCGGGACGAATGACCGATGTCCCAGGAAAACTTCCCTCAAGAAGAAACCCCTGGGGGGGGGGGGGGGGGTGGGGGTGGAAACCTTAATTACGCGCTACAAATGAGAGCATTCGTGCTTTTTCTTGCGGACGTATTTTTAACCTACGAATGTCCCGAGGACACCGCGGTCTTTGCACGGAAAGAATTTCTTCCTCCTTGGTTGGACTCCAGCATCTTGAGTTTTTGGGACCGCTGGCGCAGAGCAAAGGGTTGCTAAAGAGAAAACTTATACTGGCAGCACAGATCCCACTAGAATAGCACTTAACATGTTCACGTAACCTCTCTCTGTATATATATTTTTTATATCTCTCTCTCTCTCTCTCAGCATATTTTTGAACAAGCCCAACCATCATGGCCTTGACCACTGGGCAATCTCCCTGAGACATTTCTACTATTTCTGACGATCACCGAGGTACAGTCCAGCGGTCATCCAAAGTGGTGATGGTGGTGGGGAGGTGGGGAGGGGGTAAGAGAGAGAGACAGAGAGAGGGACATGTGCGGACGTCTTAAAGTACGAGCCCCAGACAATGACCCGGGGGGCCTCACTCCGGATAGATCTCCCCAAGGCGAAGGTGTCGCCTCTGTCGAGATCCACCACAGCTGGAAGCAATTCCTTTCGGCTCTGAGGAACCCAAGGGTTAGCACCTTCAACGATCATCGTCGGGGGGCGGGGGGGGCGGGTGGTAAGCGGTGAGAGAGACCCTACAGACATTAGTGGAAGGCGTCTTACAGATAAATGTAAAATTACTATTTTGGACGCCCAAAAAAATAAACACTACAACGGACTGCCGGAGCTTTCCGTCGTTCCAAGTTGCCGCTGACAAACCGCCGCAGCTGCCCGCCCGCCCGACCGACCGACCGACCGACAATGTCATCGGTGGTTTTCCGCGTGGCTTTGCTCAACGGATAAAGCGCCTCTCCCGTCGACTTCGCCTCTCGTCGTGTCTTCGATGGGGCCGTGCGTGCGGTCGGGTCGGTTAAGTCGGCTGGTGGAGTGGGGGGGGGGGCCTCGGTCGAGAGATCTCACGGAGAGGGGGGGCGGGGGGAGATCAAAAAGGCGGAGTGGCGCGTCATCACGTCTCGTGGTAGTGGTGGTAGTGGTGGTGGTGATGGTGCTCGTGGTAGTGGTGGTGCTCGTGCCGTTGCATAACCGGCACCAGCATGGACGTCTGCATTGCCCCCGGCTGCTGCTGCTGCACGTGCAGTTGCTGCTGCTGCTGCTGCTGCAGGTGCTGATGATGATGCTGATGCTGAGGTTGCTCCAGCCACCGAACGTCAGGGACGCCGGGCGCGGGGGCTCGCGTTTGGTAGTACGGAGGCCTCCCCGGAGAGAGGCAGCCTTCCCGCCCGCGCTGCCTGTGCTTCTTGTGCTGCTGCTGCGGCTGCTGCTGCTGCTGCTGCTGCGCCTGCTGCTGTTGGACACCCACGGGCCTCAGAGGCTGCACGTAGGCAGGCACGGACCGGCCGCGCTGCCTGCCCGGCCTCGACGAGGCGGCCTGCGTCACGGCCGGGCCTTTGGTACGGGACGATCGCGAGACGTAGCGGGCGGCGGTTGTCGTGGTGGCGGCTGCGGCTGCGGCGGCGGCGGCGGCGGTCGAAGGGTCCTGCGGCGTGCGGTTGCGCTGGTGCAGGACGGTCTCCCGGCGGCCGTGCTGGCCGGCCGGGGTGTCGGGGTCGTGCTGGGCGTTGCGCCTCCTGCTCATCCGTGGGGAGCCTGCTGGACGAGGGAGGGAGGGAGGATCGGCGTTAGCCCAACGCTGCGCGTTTACTTGGCAGGGTCAGATCAGGGATAATATCTCGCGAGATGTTAACTATCTCGCCCGGTGTGCAGGAGGTCGTGGGTTCGATCCCGAGCCTCACGCCTGCTGCTGCTGTGTATTTGGAGATTGCGTCTTCTCCCGTTTAAAGTGTTTGGCCGCTTTAAAATGTCCACGCGATAAGCCACTTCGTTGAGCTATCAGGCCGCTGCTGAAAAAGAGCTAAAAAACAGCTCAGTGGGCCTTACCTGGTAAAATAAAAAGGCGAAGTTTAAATCGTTTTTAGATATCATTTTGTCAATAGCGTTGACGACAGTGCCTCCATTCCCCAAATTCACATACCATTTGCATCATACTCGATCACAGTGGTTCTTAAACTTTCCTGCAGCCTGCACCCCGTTGGTTCTCAATGGGTTAAAAATAAAATTGTACAATGTGAATAAGTACATCAGATTTGATGAAAAAAAGTAAGTTGTACCTATGCGGCGGTACTGAATTTTTTTTCGATGATTTTACCTTCTAAAAATATCTGGCCATGTTCCGCACCCCCAGAGAGAGGGCATCTCGCACCCCACCGGGGGGTGCGTGCACGCCAGGTTCAGGACCGCTGCTCTATCATCACTGTGCGTGTGTAGTGGGTTCACGGGACACGGAGACGGTGGAGTAGAGGCAGCACTGTTTATTCAAGCTTAACAAGGGTTACACTGAGAAGGGGTAACGGCCCCTTCACCCGTATACACGCTGGGACACCCCCTAGGCTATCTAGCCTAACTCCTGCGCTCCCAGTTCCTCCAGCTACAGGCGCTAGAGGAGGCTATCTGACCTGGCCCTGGTCAAGCACAGATCACGGCACCCCAACAGCCAGACCGACCCTTAAAAGGGCTCCGGCTCTGAGGCTCTGGGGCCGCACCACCGGCTTGCCCTGCCGGCCCTCACAAGGACAGCGGTCAGGGAAGTCCCAGGGTCTATCCTAGCCGGCCTTCCTTCTTCACTGGTTCTTCATTCTTGGCCCCAACACACTGCCCCAAGCTCTCTGGCTCCCCGCCCTTTACACCCATACACCACTGAGGGTGGGGCTATAGCGGACGTGGTTGTAGCCACCAAGGTGTGGCTGTGTGTTACCTTCCCACACTGTGTGTTTCCTTCCCACAACACCCCTACACGTGCATCGTGAGCCCAGAGAAACGATGCTTTTGGATCGATGAATATTAATCGTGGCGATGAGTCTGATACGCGTTCATGCGGGCCTCGCAGATGGGACGGAGCAATTGGTGGCCCCGAATCTCGATTGTCTAGACCATGCTCTTGGCACTCTGTAAATGCATCGCACGTTGTGTAAAATACAAACTGTGTGAGTTATATCTATGGGACCCCTTTTTGTTGTTGTTTCCAGTATCAAGATGAGAAAAAAATAGTAGGCTTAACCCTTTCCGCCAATAATACAGGAGGTCCATAATACAGGTTTTTTTGGGTTAGATCGCGTAAATATTTATAGACTCGCCTTTTGCCCGTCCAAGGACGGGTGTATTGCAGTAATTCTGAAACTTGCAAGCGAAAAGCAGACCTCGACGTGATATCCATTGTATCAATTCGTGTACAATTTGTAAGGCCTCGGTCACACAGACATTAAATTTAAAGGTTATAATCCCTTGTTCATCATGACGTCCTTTTTACTTTGATGTCTCGACAGCGTTACGGAGATCACGTGATGACGTGAGGGTTCTGCCTTTGTAGTGAGGGTTGTGAGTTGACGCCGAGGAGGGGGGAGGAGGTGCCTCAGCCCCCCTCATGTCCTTTGGATTGCACTCTCATGCCTTTGGATTACACTCTCATGTTCACATGTCCTTTGGATTACACTCTCATACTCACATGTGCTTTGGATTACACTCTCATGCTCACATGTCACTAGGATTACACTCTCATACTCACATGTCCTTTGGATTACACTCTCATGCTCACATGTCACTAGGATTACACTCTCATGCTCACATGTCCTTTGGATTACACTCTCATACTCACATGTCCTTTGATTACACTCTCATACGCACATGTCCTTTGGATTACACTCTCATGTTCACATGTCCTTTGGATTACACTCTCATACTCGCGTGTCCTTTGGATTACACTCTCATGCTCACATATCCTTTAGATTGCACTCTCATGCTCACATGTAGGTTGCATTGCACTCTCATGCTCACGTGACCTTTGGATTGCACTCTCTCTTGCCTCGTGGAGGCCATTCTTTGATCTCACATTAACATCATGCTAAGCTCTCACATTAACATAGCCACTTCCGTGCCCTCGTTGAGGAGGCCGCTCTCCTCCTATCTTACAGCTACATGCTAATGTCTCACATTGACATCATGCTAATGTCTCACATTAACATCACTAGCCCTGCTCACTTCTTTATAATGACCCTTGGGCTACACCCATTTCAAACCTTTTAAAACAGTATGGCTCAGCAGCAGGCCATCGCTTTCCCACCTGATGACGGACGCTTGTGTTGCGCCCGAAACGTCGTGATTTATTTTATTTTATACCTATACGTGATGACTTTACCGAAAGAACCAAAGAGTATGGACGTTGAACTTCTTTGGCACCGTACGTCGCCAACCGTGCTCATCGGAGGTGCGGAGCGTGGACAACAAACTGTGGGTCTCTGTGTGAGTCTATGGGTCTCTGTGTGAGTCTATGGGTCTCTGTGTGAGTCTATGGGTCTTTGTGTGAGTCTATGGGTCTCTGTGTGAGTCTATGGGTCTCTGTGTGAGTCTATGGGTCTCTGTGGGAGTCTGTGGGTGTCTGTGTGTCTATGGGTCTTTGAGTGAGTCTATGGGTCTCTGTGTGAGTCTATGGGTCTGTGTGAGTCTGTGGGTCTCTGTGTGAGTCTATGGGTCTCTGTGTGAGTCTATGGGTCTCTGTGTGAGTCTATGGGTCTCTGTGTGAGTCTATGGGTCTCTGTGTGAGTCTGTGGGTCTCTGTGTGAGTCTGTGGGTCTCTGTGTGAGTCTATGGATCTCTGTGTGAGTCTATGGGTCTCTGTGTGAGTCTATGTGTCTCTGTGTGAGCCTGTGGGTCTCTGTGTGAGCCTGTGGGTCTCTGTGTGAGTCTATGGGTCTCTGTGTGAGTCTATGGGTCTCTGTGTGAGCCTATGGGTCTCTGTATGAGTCTATGGGTCTCTGTGTGAGCCTGTGGGTCTCTGTGTGAGTCTGTGGGTCTCTGTGTGAGTCTATGGGTTTCTGTGTGAGTCTATGGGCCTCTGTGTGAGTTATGGATCTCTCTGTGAGTCTATGGGTCTCTGTGTGAGTCTATGGGTCTCTGTGTGAGTCTATGGGTTTCTGTGTGAGTCTATGGGTCTTAGTGTGAGTCTATGGATCTCTGTGTGAGTCTATGGGACTCTGTGTGAGTCTCTGGGTCTCTGTGCGAGTCTATGGGTCTCTGTGTGATTCTATGGGTCTCTGTGTGAGTCTATGGGTCTCTGTGTGAATCTGTGGGTCTCTGTGTGAGTCTATGGGTCTCTGTGTGGTGAGTCTATGGGTCTCTGTGTGAGTCTATGGGTCTTTGTGTGAGTCTGTGGGTCTCTGTGTGAGTCTATGGGTCTCTGTGTGAGTCTATGGGTCTCTGTGTGTGGTGAGTCTATGGGTCTCTGTATGAGTCTATGGGTCTCTGTGTGGGTCTATGGGTCTCTGTGTGAGTCTATGGGTCTCTCTGTGAGTCTATGGGTCTCTGTGTGAGTCTCTGGGTCTCTGTGTGAGTCTATGGGTCTCTGTGTGAGTCCATGGATTTCTGTGTGAGTCTATGGGTCTTAGTGTGAGTCTATGGGTCTATGTGTGAGTCTATGGGTCTCTGTGTGAGTCTCTGGGTCTCTGTGCGATTCTATGGTCTCTGTGTGATTCTATGGGTCTCTGTGTGAGTCTATGGGTCTCTGTGTGAGTCTATGGGTCTCTGTGTGAGTCTATGGTTCTCTGTGTGAATCTGTGGGTCTCTGTGTGAGTCTATGGGTCTCTGCGTGAGTCTAATGGTCTCTGTGTGAGCCTGTGGTTCTTTGTGTGAGTCTATGGGTCTCTGTGTGAGTCTATGGGTCTCTGTGTGAGTCTATGGGTCTCTGTGTGAGTCTATGGGTCTCAGTGTGCGTCTGTGGGTCTCTGTGTGAGTCTATGGGTCTCTGCGTGAGTCTATGGGTCTCTGTGTGAGCCTGTGGTTCTCTGTGCGAGTCTATGGGTCTCTGTGTGAGTCTATTGGTCTCTGTGTAAGTCTATGGGTCTCTGTGTGAGTCTATGGGTCTCTGTGTGAGTCTATGGGTCTCTGTGTGCGCCTATGGGTCTCTGTGTGAGTCTATGGGTCTCTGTGTGAGTCTATGGGCCTCTTTGTGAGTCTATGGGTCTCTGTGTGAGTCTCTGGGTCTCTGTGTGAGTCTATGGGTCTCTGTGTGAGTCCGTGGGATTCTGTGTGAGTCTATGGGTTTCTGTGTGAGTCTATTGGTCCCTGTGTGAGTCTATGGATTTCTGTGTGAGTCTATGGGTGTCTGTCTCTGTGTGGGTCTATGGGTCTCTGTGTGAGTCTATGGGTCTCTGTGTGGGTCTATGGGTCTCTGTGTGAGTCTGTGGGTCTCTGTGTGAGTCTATGGGTCTCTGTGTGAGTCTATGGGTCTCTGTGTGAGTCTATGGATCTCTCTGTGAGTCTATGGGTCTCTGTGTGAGTCTATGGGTCTCTGTGTGAGCCTGTGGTTCTTTGTGTGAGTCTATGGGTCTCTGTGTGAGTCTATGGGTCTCTGTGTGAGTCTATCGGTCTCTGTGTGAGTCTATGGGTCTCAGTGTGCGTCTGTGGGTCTCTGTGTGAGTCTATGGGTCTCTGCGTGAGTCTATGGGTCTCTGTGTGAGCCTGTGGTTCTCTGTGCGAGTCTATGGGTCTCTGTGTGAGTCTATTGGTCTCTGTGTAAGTCTCTGGGTCTCTGTGTGAGTCTA